TACTTCCCTCCCTACCCGCCCCACCCCCACCCCAACCAGGAAGCAATGACATAGCTGAAGATGTAGGGAGAGGGCAGAACAGTGCACTTTCTACATAGATGATTGAAAACTGGAATAGTATATACAGAGAAACTGGGTCCTACACAGCCTTGCACATGCTCAGAATTGATAGCGGTAAGATGTGGAATTCTGCCTTTTTCTACCTAACACATTAATTGAGAAAGTCAATTAAAGTGTATTAAAAAAACCAACAAACCTGTGCATTTGAAAAATTTAATGCCTAATTAGTACTTCAAAAATTTACCTATATAAAATGTACAAATAAAGGAGAGAATTTAATGCTTACAGGTATTCCTTTAAGCAGTACTTCCCCCTTTTGGATATTTGACTGCACATACCAAGTGGTATAATAGTTTCCATCTTCTAATGATGGAATATATATATATATATTTTTACCTATCCCTGGAGCAAGTAACAGGAAGAGAATGGGCAAACTGGCTGCACAAGAGAAAAGAGAATGGAACTGGGAACAACATAGGAGCCTGCTAAAACCCTGCTGTCCAGATTTGCCCTACTATGCTGGTGGTTGGTTTATCCCTCTTCTGTTTAGCCACTCACAGGTGAGCGGCTAGTGCACTGATTCACAGGGGATGAACTCAGGGTCTCAAAAGACAAATGAAGACTAGAGGTATGTATCATTTAAGTAGCTATAAAACTCACACCATGATTTCCCTTACGACACAAATTCTGTGTCATCTCTTCCAACATAAACAGTGTCAAAGGTTTGTCAGGTATTTTCAAATCACTGAAACAGTCATCCACCAACACTGTAAGAATGTAAGAGGCTAACCACTGGGGACTGTTGTTTGAGTTGAATCAGAGTCAAAGGCTCAGGAATCAAGACCCTTAGCATCTCAAAGTACATACTAAAAACAAGAGGCTGCTCGGAATAGGGCAGTATGGCTGACTCACCAGGTGGTAAAAAACAAGAGGTTAATTTCCTCTTTTTGATTGTTAATTGACCATCTCTATTCCTCCAAGGCTAAATTAGGGTTGCAAACAGCTTTCCTCTGAGATTCTACTGTTAATTGAGACTTACAGTATTTGAGTGTCTCTGAGTGCTGAGTGGGAATAGTAAAAAAAATTATATTACACTTGATTTAAGAAAGACAAACATTTCAATGAAGTCCATCAAAAAAGAAACATTTCGGGGGAAAGGTTTCAAGAGGGGTGTGTGTGTGTGTGTGTGTGTGTGTGTGTGTGTGTGTAGGGAGTGGAGGGGATTTTAAAAGGAGAAGCATTTTCCTGCCTCGCTTTATTAATAATAATAATAATATTAACAATAATAATAAGTTTAAGGAGCTTGGGTTGTTCTCCATGTCCCCATCCGAGTCTCCCATAAGTGCCTCCTCCTGGAATGAAGTAGGAAATGAAAGGTTGGGTTCGGAGGAGAGGGTCTGGTTAACCCTCGAGATGTATATATAACATTTAAAAATGACAACACTGGGAGCTGCAAACAGTGAGGGGAAACATACATCTTCAAATAAAATAAAGATATTTCACTTTTACACAAATTCTGTCCATGTGGTGTATAAAGAAAGTAAGGCTCTTTTTAATTATGAAAAGATTTTTGTGCATGTTTCCCCTATCCCCAAATCCATTTGTAGATGAGTTCTATTGTAAAATGTTCAAGATTATGAAGAAAACCAAACCCCAGAACAAAATGAACCCCCCAAAAAGAAGACCAGGTTTTCTAAAAAATAAAATAAACCAAAGAAAAATTCCTCTAAATCTACAGCAATATTTTAACTGGAAAAAAGGTCCATTTTTCTCTGGTTTGTCAGTATAAAAGGTTCCTTTATTTATATATATTTAAGTTTTTAATTGCAAGTTTATCTTGCTCATCTTCTCATGTAAGGTCCATTGAGTGACTGCTTGGGCACACCAGCAGCATTCATGTAGCTGTGATGGGAGGGGCCAGTGTACATCATGTTTCCATGAGGGTTTGGCTGCATAGGCTGCTGGGTATAGGCCTGGCTCCCCATCATCCCCATCTGCATCTGCATAGGATACTGTGCTGTCTGGTTCATGTAGGCAGGGTTACTATGGTAACTGCTGTTCATCATGGGCTGTGTCATTCGATAGCTGTTCATGGCATTCAAGGTGTTCATATTCATGGAATTGACATTATAGGTAGGGGTTGGCATTAAATTAACCCCCATGTTCATGCCACGCTGAACAGCCAATGCACGCGGGCCAGCCTGCATGGCAACCGCTGGTGGGCTGCGGCCATACAGCTGCTGCTGGTGAGCAGCTGCAGAGGGCAGTGGTGCAGATTTGGAGCGGATGGAAATGTGTCCCTTGACTGGCATTTGCCCTTGCAACCTCTGAGTATGAGGAATGCCAATGTTGGTAGCAGACATGTTGCACTGTAGCAGAGGTGACGTGAGGTTCATGGTGGTAGACGCCAAGTTTGGGGGTGGCGTCATGGTGGCTTGTGCTTGAGGGGTCCCAGCTAATGGATGAGATGGAGCTAGCTGGGCCAGTCCTGTATTAGACAAAGAAACACTGGTTGCATAGGAAGTCACAGCAGGAGAATGGCTATAAGGCATGGCATGAGGGTCCATAATGGTGTTAGTCAGCTGCTGCAACTTGGCTAAACTGAAGGTGGCTGACGGTTGAGAGTAGCTGCCGGCACCAAAATCCCCTGGAATCCTCTCATAGATACTGATGTTCCCAGTGCTTCCAGATTCTGGTATCTCCATGATCATAGGTGCTGGAGTGAAACTGTTATTCATACTACACTGTGACAGGGGTGGCTGCTGTTGAGGTGGGGGTGGGGGTTGAGGCTGCTGGGGCTGAGGTGGTGGTGGTGGCTGCTGCTGTGGCTGCTGCTGCTGCTGCTGCTGCTGGGGTGGTGGAGGTTGAGGTGCTGGTTGCTGCTGCTGCTGTTGCTGCTGCTGCTGCTGCGGTGGTGGTGGCTGCTGCTGGTTACTGGGAGGCCGCTCCACCACACAACTCTGAGGTGACTTGATGTTGCAGTTGGCAGCAGGCTGGACATTGTTCTGCTGCATCATGCTGCAGCTGTTGCCCATGTTTGCCATTTGCTGAGTGACAACACAACTGTTCTGAGTGAGGCTGCTGGAGGATGATAACCCACCATAGGAGCAGCTGCTCTGGGAAGAGTTATTCCCACAAATGCTGCCACCCATTGTGGAATCATAACTGCTAGGGTTCTCATAGTTTTCTGTGGTGCTCTCAATGCTGCCCAGATCACTGAAGCCACTGTCCACCACCTGCTGAGAATGGTCTGATACAGAAGGCACATCCATCATGGGGCTGGTCTCCATGTTCTGCATAGAGGGTGCGGACAGGGATCCTTGTTCTGGGCTGATCTGGGTGTAACCACTTTCAAGGGCAGGCACATTGGGACTGCTGACTGAACGCACTGACTGGCTGGGATGAGACTGAACAGAAGATATTGGACTATTATGTTCTGAAGTATGACAGTCTTCAACCATTGACATCTGAGGGTCTTCATCAGCCTGGGTGTAACTCTGCAGTGTCTGACAAGCTGCAAGCGTCTCTTCACAGTCCTGGTAGGCGCCCTCATGTTCATTGCTTTCTTCTTGAGTCAAAGACTGCACTGCTTGCACAGTTTCCAGATCCAGTTCACTATGGGGAATCTCATCTTCCTCTTTTAACTCAATTAATTCTTCTTTAGAGTTTGAATCTTCTTCATGATCATCCTCAGACCCTGGCATGTGCTCTGATACCACAGATGTTTCATGGGAAGTCTGTTCCTCTTCGGAATCTGGTTCTGTTTCATCTTTATTCTTTATATTCTCCCTACTGCTCTGCATACTCGTATCTAAAAAAGACTCCTGACCACCAGGATCCTCCTTTACGTCGTCTCTAATGGGCTGCTCCTCTAGTTCTTTTTTCTTTGTAGATTCTAGATGACCGTCATCTTCATCATCTGCATCGTGGTCTTCATTCTGGTTTGTCTCTGCAGCCACTTCCTCCTCTTCCTCTTGCTCCTGTTCTTCCAGTTCTTGTTGCTCTTCCTCAGACTGCCTCTGTTCTTCTGAGACACGGGGTTTCTCCTCTTCCTCCTCTACCTCGGGTTCTTTCATGTCCATCTCAGGGCTGTTGCTGCTATCCCCTGGAGAAGCTGCTCTAACCTCACTGCTAGTGGTATCTCCTTCATCTCCCTCTTCAAGCTCTTCTGCTTCCACGTGCATCTCCTCTTCCTCCTTCCTTTCTTCAGTCAAAGGCAAGTCTTCCTTTGATTCAACAGTTTCTTCATTCTCTTGAATTTTGAGTTTACGTCCAGGTTTAGGAATGGGTACAATGGGCTCAATAATGCGTTCTTGAGTAGAAATGGGTATGATTTCCCGATTCAACTTAAATCCTGGTTTGCGACCAGGTCTTTTCTTCCAGTGGATTGGTTTGCGACTCTTCCCTTTGGGCCATCCCTTTTTCTTTTTCATAGGTGTGGATGTATCTGGCTCATGTGGAGAATCCTTCACATCACATTTTCTCAAGACAGGTACTGGCTTTAGGATAGGAGTGTCTGTACAGGAGGAATAAAAAATACAAATACAAATAGGTTATAAGATCTTATATTTTCTAATGCCCTTTTCTGAGACCAGCATGTACAACAGAAATAATTTCATTAATCAACACAAACTCTTGATTATCTTCATTTTCAAGTTAAGAATCTAAAGAAGAAACCTAATTAGTGACATCTTCTAAAGTCACAAGGAAAACTGGCAGAACAGTAAAAGAATGCTGGTCAACATTCTATTACCATCCACTAATTAAAACCAGCTCAAGTTTATCATTGCCAACTGTATATCTTGGGAAAGTTCCTCTAATATTCAGTTTTATCACCTATAAAATGAAGATTAGCTTTATAAAGATGCAAATACTAAGTAGTTATTACAACTACTTTAGACAAGTTGTCTTCATTGCATAAGTTATAAATGAGCTGACATCTTTTTTTTTTAATCCTCACCTGAGGACATGTTTTCATTGATTTTAGAGAGAGAGAAGCAAAGGGGGGNNNGAAGCAAAGGGGGGTGGGGGGGAGGGAGAGAGATCGATGGGTTGCCTTCTGCAAGGGCCCTGACCAGCAACCTAGGTTAAGTGCCCCAACCGGAGACTGAACCCGCCGCAACACTTTGGTGTACAGGACAATGCTCCAACCAACTGAGCCACCCAGTCGGGGCTTTTTTTCTGATTGCAATTTATATTCTCTGGTGGTATTATTTTCCACAAAATCATTACTTCAGGTAATTTCATGAACCAATTACTCCAGGTCATGACTGAGCAATCCCACAAAATAAATGTCAATCAATGTTGTGTTTGTATGGGAACAGCTGCAAGACATTTAGTCCTAGACAAATACTGACCTCAAGAAAAAGCTGAAGCACCAATGACAATGGTTTATTAAAAATAAATTTTATTTTAGCATTATTTTCTCCCCAACTAATTTTTTTTCTTTTTAAAAATTATAGTGAAATATGCATAGCATTAAAGTCACCATCTTAACACTTTTGGTGTGGCATTAAATACATTCACATTTTCAATTAATTTTTAAAGGGAAGAAAACCAAGGTAAGAACAGGATTGGGGGGCACTAAAAAGGTATAGTTAGTAATAACTTGAAAATAAACAGAGAAAATTTGTCCAATGCAATGGAAACTTAGAAGATACTATTTCAGTTTATAATGATACAAATTAGAATTTTACTAACGTGCCAAATTTTAGAAATAAATTTTTAGTTTCCTACTTATTATGTGTCTCAAAATATAATAAAACTCTGGAAAATCATTTCCAGTAAAGCAAAGAATTCAGTCATCGTATCACTTTATTAAAAGTATTTATTGTATAAACATATGAGAATGGAAATCATGAAAGTTATCCACTAGATTTGAAACTGAGTGAATTTATTTTTAAAAGAATAAAAAGCTCAACTAGTTAATACATAAAAGCTGTATGTTTATACATATGTACAATTAGATTCCTTCAGTTTGACCCCACACAAGGTAAACACTACAGAGGTATGCAGCATGATACCCTGGCAAAAACTGAGGCAAGGATGCAAATGACTAGTGTGTGACCCAGCTCATATATGGGCCCCCGTTTCTTCATTTCTAAAGAGAAAATGACAAGGGTATTTTAAAAGTAAATCTCTGATGTTTAGCTATGCCATAAAATTTAACCTATTTTGAAGTACTGTACCAGTTTTATTCAAAATTTACTACTAATTGAGTAAGACACTTAGGGAGATGATTCAGGAAGGATTCCTGAACAGACAGGAAGCAAGTCCAATTTATGTGAATCTGATCTTTTTTAAGAACCATCTTCTTAGCATTTATTAACTATTTATTGAGTACCTATATTAAGCACTCAGTATACTACAATAAGCAACACAGACTAAATCTATAGAGCACACATTCTAGTAAAGCATTATTACTTAAATATCTTTCTGATGCTGTCTAGTCCGCCTGTTAACTAAAGCAGGGGTGGGGAACATCTGGCCCACGGGCATATATGACTCGAGGAATCGTTTGGTCTGGCCCTGCCAAGGCAACCACAGGAAGGACTCGAAATTAGATAAATCTAGGAGCTTTGTTCATAGCTAATTTTTAACTTAATAATTTTGCATTGCCTGCAAATGATGTTATAAATACCCAAATGGCCCTTGTTAGAACAAAAGTTCCCCACCCGGATCTTAAGCTTCAGATAATGGACAAAAAAGGATTAAGCAGAAAAAGAATTTTCTGCAAAAACAAAAACAGGTCCCAGATTGAAGGGGAAACTAGAAAAGAGCACTTTAAAAGGACAGAGGACTAAATAAGGGTGAGTACACTTGATACAACCTTTTAGAGATTACCAAGTCATCCTTCAGTGGCTTAGTAGGCTGTGTTCGTTTTTCAGCCTTTTAATTGAAGGGTTTATAGCTTTCACTGCTGTATCTCTAAAGACAATAAAACTATAAGAAGTGAAAGTCCTGCAAAACATACCATCAGCATCATCTGACTCTTCGTCATCATCGTCATCTTCATCTTTAGACTTCCTCTTAGAAGAGGATCGACACCTGAGAACGTCCTGTGAGGACAGCCGACGGAAGTACCCTCTGGGGAAGAGCTCATTTTCGTCCTCTTCCTCCTCCTCTTCATCAATCTCAAACGTGGGTTCCAATCTTGGCATCGGCCTCTCGGAGTCAGAGTCTTCAAAAGGTTCATCTAAGACTTCTGTCGTCTCAGAAATAGTTTCTGTGACTACACTGCTATTGTGGTGTTTGCGCTTTCGAACTCTCCTTCTTCGGTGAAGAATCGTTTTCTATTTAAAAGAGAAAGAATTTTATTAACAGTAATGAACACTATCATTTATATTAATAATATGATTAATAGTTTTTAAACCTAATAGAATTAGCACATATAAAATGAGGATGCTGTTTACCAAAATATATTTAAAATTTTTTTTAAATATTTTATTGATTTTAGAGAGAGGGGAAGGGAGAGGGAAAGAGAGAAAGAAACATTGTTGTGAGAGGGAAACATTGATTAGCTGCCTCCTGCATGCCCCCTATTGGGCAGGGATTGAGCCCACAACCTGGGCATGTGCCCTGACTAGAAATTGAACCGGCAACCTTTTGGTGCAAGGGCAGGGCTCAAAATACATTTTAAATATTTCAAAATACTAAGATACATACAGTATCTTACTATACATAATGTATCAGAGGTACACAGATGTTAGATAACTGAATACAACTTTGTAAAACAACAGGCAGGCATGTCCAAGAACAGATATTATAATTCCCTTATTAATAGTTCAGTTAAACTAAGCAACCTAGGGAGTTGTCTATTTCAATACTAAAATGACACATAGGCTAGTCCTTTAACTTCTCTTTTCCTCAAGAGAAAAAAGGAATAAGTACTTTCTGTTTGTCTCATAGCTCTACCATGAAGGTCAGCAGAACTATCAGTGAAGCTGTATGCCATCTTCATGAGCTATCCATAGACTTATATTGGAATACAGAAATATGGAGCTGATAGGAATTTACTTGATGTTAGTAAAGCATTTCAAAAGTAATAAAATAGACCTGTTATTGGAATTTGGCACATTATGCACAATTTTGTACTAGAGTTGATCTAATACCTTAAATCACACAACAGCACAAAACAAAGATGAGGCACCAGGAAACGGCCTAAGCCAATTCCCGCACCTACAGAGGTCAGAAAGGTTACAGGACTTAAGGTCACACATGCAGTCAGTGTAGAAATGGTTGTAAAATACAGTCTCTGACTCCCAGTCAACTGCATTTCTTCAAGAACTTCAAAAGTACTTTGTAACATGATCTCACTGCCTATTATAATATTCCTTTTTTACACAAATAGCATAATTTTATTTTATGAATAGGCAATACAAGCCTAGGATGGCAAAGATATATTCTTCATGGTCACATAACAAATAGTATAGTTAGTCAAGTTCACTTTTTCTCCACTTCAAATTTACTAATCCTAGTTAAGAATACAATTTTCAAATTAGATTTAACATGCTTTGCTCTTTGGAGAAATAATCGATTGGGGCATGAAATATACAAGTTGGAACATCTTTTAGTACCAAAAAGTAAGGAAGTACTAAAAACAAAACAAATAAAAAACTTTGCAATGATGAGGGCATGAATGTTAAAGGGATACAGGAACAAAACTGAAAGAGCTCCTAATGTCCAAAGATAGAAGAATTTGAGTGACAAATAAAGTAATAGTATTGGATTATAACCCAAAGTATAAAGTAAATATCTGTGAGTCCACAGCAATATAAATAAATGCTTAAATAAATAGATGGAGAAGAGATAAATATTCCAAGCAGAATTCTAAATAAACACAGGTATTCTGCTCTTAAGGAGTATTACTCCCCATAACTTAAGTGTGTGGGCTGTGGACAGAGACTTCCTTCCAAAGAATACAGGGCAGAAAAGGGAAAAAAGGAGTACCTTTACAGTAGAGGAGGGGTGAAGAGAGAGAGAAAAACATGGATGTGAGAGAGACACATTGATTGGTTGCCTCCCACACGCGCCCCAAACTATAACTGAGGTACGCGCCCTTGGCTGGAATCGAACCTGGGACCCTTCAGTCCACAGGCCAATGCTCTAACCTTGCAGCCAAACCAACAAGGGCGAAAAATATTTTTAAAACAAGGTTAAGACAAACTACTGGAGGAGTGAAGGGGAGAGAGAGAAGGGAGGTGCGAGTACAGGGAAAATAGTACCACTCAAGGTAAGATGAATGGCTTTGCTCTGAGCACCTCAATATACATCCACTTTCCATGGAACTATGTAAAGTTTCCTCTTCTTTTCTAATATAATCATTCCTAATTTATACATATTTTTAAAATATCTTAAAAACCTCTAAGTCATGATTTAAACATCAAACAGCAAGCTGAAAAACAGTCTGTCAGCCCTTAAATACGGTTATGACTTCTAAGCTAATTACCATGAACCACAGAACTCATATATACATTTCAAATAGTCACTGGGAACAATATACTGAGGTTTAAAGTTTAAAAAATAAACACACTAGGCCCGGCTAGTGTGGTTCAGCGGTTGAGCATCGACCTATGATCACAGAGATCGCGGTTTGATTCCCAGTGAGGGCACATGCCAAGGTCAAAGGTTCAACCCCCAGTAGGGGACGTGCAGGAAGCAGCCAATCAATGACTCTCTCATCACTGATGTTTCTATCTCTCTCTCTCACCCTCTCCCTTCCTCTCTCTGAAATCAATAAAGACATATTTTTTAAAAATAACACACTAAGAAACTTCTATATTTACTCTTTCAGAACTCTAGGATAGAACAACTATATCCAATAAGCTACAACTGGAGGAAGAAAGGACATCAAAGAAATTCTTCACCTTTCGCTTCAATGTGGGCTTTGTAAGAATTGGTGGCGAGTTGGACCGAGGACTTTCTGGCTCCTCTTCCTCCTCACTACTCTCACTGAAGCCCCTGAGGAGAGCCCTATCACCATCACTATAGCGACGGGACAGTCTATCATTGCCTTCCGATAGCCTGCACTTCAGAGCCTCAGGGTTTTTCTTTAGCTGTCCTCGCCACAGCTCAATTCCTTCACTTAGTCTTCTTTTGGGAATGTTTGGCTTCCCATCCTGGCTTGGCTGCTCCTTAGAGGCTGCCAACTGTTCCTCACTTTCAGTGTACTGTTCTTGGGAGGTTTCTGATTTTTCTTCACATTCTCCATACTGTTCCTGAGGAGTTGATGTCTCTTCAAGGAGCAGTTTAGAATCTTTATCACCAAAACGTTCCTGGGTTTTTTTGTTCTTCCTCCCACAGCGGCCTCTCCGAGATGGCTGATTATTTGCAGGAAGACTTTCACGGGAAAGGACCTGTTTATTCAAACGTGTAGAATTGGCTGGTGCTGTAACTTCTGGTTTCTTTTCACTTTCTATTGAAGAATAAGAATCTTGTTCTTTGTTCTCCCGAGATGCAGACTTTCCCACCTGATTTTAGAAAACAAAACCATTATGGTTAATTTTTCAGTCTTACCTGGTTATATCTCCTATTCTGATCTTTTAAATACAAAGATAAGAAAACAGAGCTTTAAAAAAGAAAATGATTATTTAATAGCTAACATGAATATTTCTTATGTGTCAGACACTGTTTTAATGCATTAAAGGTATTTAATCTTCACAATAATTGTATAAAGTGTAATTATATGCCCATTTTACAGATTAGGTAACTGAGGCACAAAAAGTTTAAGTAAGTTGCACCAGGTCATGCAACAGCAAATGAAGAAGTTGGGATATAAAACCAGGCAATCTGACCCAAGAGCTAGCGCTCTTAGGCCCTATGCAATACTATCTTCAATAAACAAAGTGAATATTATTATTCTTATAAATTTTAAATGAGAGAGTTTATGAAACTTCTCAGAAATAAAAATTTATAAAGAGAGGAGATGGGCTCTGGAGTATGAGCAAGAAAAGGGAGTGTTTGAAAAAAAATGAAAGAAAATTTCTGTAATTATTTTGATTTCTTTCTAGTCTGAATATTTAATTTCATTTTTAAAATTAAATTACATTAAACAGGGGCAGGAATTTGTTTACATTTATCAAAGAAGAACATAGATTTTTAAAAGATGAAAGAACTGCTTTTAAAAAAAAAGATATGCATCACATGAAGAAAAATATTGAAAAACTAGTCTCTCCCTTTAATGGCTTTAACCCTTTAATGGCTAAATACGTCTGTGTACCTACTGAACTATTTAGTGCTCTCTTAGAAAACATACACGTTTACATTATTCCATAATGTTTTATTTTAAGGAAAATGTATCTTCATTTCATTTTTAACAAGACAAATTTAGATTCAATTCAGATTCCTCAACTACTATATAGCTTAAAATTTAGCTGCTTACTGGTACTCTGGTAAGAAATATTTAGTCAGAAGTAACACCTAACAAATTTGAAGGTCTCCCAATGAACCAAGCTTAAAAATATACAAATAAATAAAACCCAGTTTTCCTGAAATTTCTATCCTTAAAATAAACTCTGAAATTCCAATGTGAATTTACTGTATTGGTTTATTTTATTCACCTATCACAGATACTCAGGAAAACTCAAAATATATCCTTCTGTCATCAAAAATAGAGACTACCCATGTCCTTACATTTGTCTCTAATTCTCTTTCTTGGCACTGTGGCTCTTCATTTTCTCCTTCCTCAGCCTCCTCTTCTTCTTCCTCTGAGACAACAGAATTGGAGACTATGACAGGAGTCCAGCGCAAACATTCTGGATCTACATCTACAGGTCGCAAATTCAGCTGAAGCTTTGTCATGTGATCCTGAATAAGTTTTTCCCGGCGGATAATCACAAATCTGGAACCAAAGAAAAGTTTATAGCAATCAACAATGTACAAGGAGTACCTAACAATGAATATAGAACTATAATGCCCAGAAAACCCTGGAGATGATGATAAATGCTTCAAAAATAGCAAGCCTGGGAAGCTGAAACACAGAAATATACCATCATAGAAGAGAGCTAAGAAATATGAAGCTAGATAAATACTTCACACTCAGCTACAGCAATGGACGAAGTTGTTTTAACCTTTTGTTTTCTCATACTTCCTACCTCTGGAATTTCTGATACTTTCCTGAACTCTAATCTCCTATTGTCCACATTTCTAGCTCAAATGCCTCCTTTCAGGAGAAACATGAGCTCCTTCTTTTGACATATTTCATTTTGTGACACGTTATGTGGAAATAAATCATGAGTATAATTTATGTGACACTGTTTCTAGGGTTGAAGAAGTTACCAATACTAGAAAGAAAAATGATGTCTGAGAATCACAAAGTGTATCATTTATATTAGTTTATGTTCTTCTAGCAATAATTTGGCTGCCTGATCCAAAAGCTTCCACCTAATTATCCTCCAAAGGTATACAAAGGGATGTAATACTCACTGGTCACTACGGAAGTCCAGCATTCTTAGGTGGTGGAGTGTGGAAGTAATGTCTTGAGGACAGATTCCAGTCAACTTACTTAACTTCTTAATGCTGATTTGCTTGTCATTTTGGTGATAAAGGCACTCCAATATTACACTTTTCCAGTAAGCCATGTAGGAAAGACGACCTAGGTCGGATAATGGTTTCTCTGGAGATCCTGCTTGGCCTTCACGCTTTGATAACAAATAACCTAAAGAAACCCCCAAATCATGAATATGTCAGAGAGCCTAAAATAGGCCAATTCCCCAAAATAACAATCCCCTCTTCCACAACCAATCTAACTTTTGTAGGCAATAATAATTACAAAAGTAAATTCCTTCAAGAAAAAACATAAAATTGCAAAATTACTTGAAAACTGCAGGAAGACTACATAATTTGTCTACAATGAAAATTACGTTAGTATCACTTGGTCTATACTTAACGTAACTACTGTTAAAATATTCAAACTTAAAAATCAGGACTTCATATTGATGGGCTACATTAGCAAGTTTAAGGCAATAATGTTTTTTATTTAATTACTATAGTAGAAAACCACCCTTGCATATTTTATTTGGACCACTAGATGGCAACAGCTCTATGTAAACTGAACAACACAGAAGAATTACCACAGTATGTAGGTAATCCCATTTAAGATTGTGTTCTCGGAGAGAATTAGATGATAATTTTTCACTTCAACCAAAGCTCTCCTCACAATGACCTATCACTCTAATTCTTGATAAGCAAGAATGTCAACATGAGGGTGTCACTGTGAGTATATCATGGTATTACTTCGTCCTCTTGCCTAGTGTGTGGCTTTCAAGAACAGGGGGAAAAAAGGCATAAATTCTAAAGGAAAGCATAAAAAATGGAGATGACAGAAGAAATAGATTTTTTTGGTCATTAAAGAAAAAATCAGCCTAAGAATGGTAATATGGGAATATACATTACAAAAAAATAAAGACAAATACTATACAGATACAGATTATTTGTACATCTAAAAAAAAAAAAAAAGACTAACCAGCATAATAAATTATTTCCCCCTAACTGGGTCACTTAATAGCATAACGTGTTCAGTTATGAGTTTCTATTTCAAAGCAATATATCAATATTAAAGGGATAATCTGAATTCTACCCTCTACTACTAATCCAAAATAACCAATTTTATTTCCAGTAAAATGTGGTTAGGTGTATAGTCTAAGGCCAACGAGAATAAGCTTCACTGGTCTATATAAGAATTAACTTCTTAACACTGGTGATATAATCATCTGATATTTAGAAGGATTGTCTGTTATCAAAATCCTTAGTTTAAACCACTGTTTCTGATTATTAAAATATTATTTTTAGTAGTACCTGAGAAACTATTCCCTCAAATATCACTATTTTATAATTAATATAAAATTTACTGCAAACATGTATTTACTTTCTAAGCAAGATTATCCATGTGTAAAATGAAATTCAAGTTCTACAATGACCTTTTTAGAACCATTAGCTTTCAATACTTAATTCAGATTAAATTATTTACTGTATCATTTAATTTTAAGATTTTTAAAGGTGCATCCCATAATTTTAACCACTAGGTAGAGAGCCTATAACTAAAAAATGATGCACATATTTTGGGTAACAAAAATAGGACAGGTGCTGTCCTATTAGTATTTATTAATACTAATTTAAGTAGTTATACAATGTCCTAATATTGTTGTGAGTTAGAATTACTAAATAAAACTAAGTTCCACTGTAACTTAACAGTTGCAAATTAAGGTATTTGCTATCACATAGAAGTTGGTGCTTAATATTAGCTATTTAAAAATATTTAATGTACAACCAACAGAAAAAAAATTCATGACTAAGTTGTTGTTTTTTCCTCAGTTTCCTCATTTTTTTGGTTTGTTTTTGTTCAAAATATTACAGATGTCCCTTTTTCTCCCCAATGACCAATTCCACCCCATCCCACCCCCCAACTTTAAGTTTTAAAGTTCCATACAGCAATATGACAACCAATAAATCTTTTATCTGCAAATCTTTAAAATATTATACACAGCATGGCTGGTGAGGCTCAGCAGCTGAGCATCAACCTATGGTCCAGGAAATCGAGGTTTGATTCTCGGTCAGGGCATATGCCCTGGTTGTGGGCTCAACCCCCAGCGGGGGGCACGCGAGAGGCAGCCAATCAATGACTCTGTCATCACTGATGTTTCTCTCTCTCTCCCTCCCCCTTCCTCTCTCTGAAATCAATAAAAATATATTTTAAAAATAAAATAAAATACACATGTATGTGCACGCATACACACACACAGACATGGTCCATAGGAAGAGATAACAAGAAATTATGTTATAATACTTACTAAAATCGATGAGAAACCTGCCGTAGCCCTTACGCTGGTATTGGGGAAGAATCATTATACAGGAAACGTTGTATTTCTGTTGGCAGTGCTTTTCCTGGTGGAGAAAATAGAAGCCAAGTTTTAAAACAACAAGCTGATAGGACTGAACAGTAATGCTAATTATTAAGAAACAAACACTAACAGTCAAAACCACAGCCCTGGTCCTTTGGGAATAACAATGCACATCAAGAAAAAAATACCCCACTGGGAGGAGATAGGACAATATTAAGTCATTGCCATTACCCACAAAGCAACTATCCCAGGAGAATAAAATTATAAAATAAACTGATGCCATCCAACACCATCTGCAACTCAAAAACAAGTATGTCAATGCCTAAGATGAGCAGAGGAATCTGAGTCCCAATCACTTTGCAAAGCTACAAATTATGAATCAATGTGGCACTCTAGAAGTGGAAAGATTCACCATCAACTATTTCAAAGTTTCTTTTATTTCCTCCTCTGATGCTACATAGTGCAGTCCCACCTCCCCATAAGCTGTACCTAACTTTACAAAATATAGTCCCAAAGTGTTGGGTACAAATAAATTTTTACAAACCAGGCAATATAGCTTGAATTATATTTAACTACTGAAATAGCCTACTAACAAAATGCTTATAAAGCTAGCTGTCCTTTCACTTACCTTACTCACCTAGATTTTACCTTGGGCTTGCTCAAATAAAAGGACATCTTTCATGTTGCTTGACTACAAAAGAAAACTTTTTTCTCCCAACAGAATGAAAGATTAAAGGAGAAAAATATCCTGTAATAAAAACTGCTTCTTACTCTTATTTCTACACCTAAAATTCAAATTAGGAAGAGAGGATTTAAACTGAGAAAGAACTTAAACAGATAATGACTCTGTTTATTTCACAAGTTCTATCTATTTATCACCATGGGAATGGAAGTTATTTAAAAACTTTTCCTCTTGAGTATAACCAGCAGTTCATGTTCCTAGGAGAGTATATACAGTCTATTGAATGTTAGTAGGCACCTTCTAGCATTTGGTTTCTGAGCGTTCCTTCTAATTTCCTTTCTAAAAAGCTAGATGGCTCCCAGAAGGTCCTGTACCCTGCAGTGTCTCCTAGTGAGAACCAGTAAAGATTATTTCAGATTTACATATGAATTCAAACAAAATTTAAGCTGATACACTTACTTTAGAAAAGTAGCCAACAAGGTGGCAGCCCTTGACATCATTCTGTGTTAGTACATAAAAAAGAAATGGCTCCACATCATAATAGAGTGTTTTGTGGTCAAGAAACAATTTTGCCAAGAGACACAGGTTCTGACAATAAATGGTACTCACATTCCCATCAACCTAGAGGGGAAAAAAATGGAACAAAATGGTCAGGAGAGTGTCTCTTTAGTTCCAGAATAATACAGGTCAGTTACAAGCACAAATGAGTATCCATAGTCCAGCCTAAGAGAAGTTGTCAGTGATCAGAACACACTGAAACCTGGAAGCTATCTCTTGAAGCGTCAGGATTACAGTACCTGCTGTTTTAAGACAACTAAATAAATATGTATATAAAATACTGTATTCAACAAAGCATGAACAGCTAGATAAGGAGGTAATGACCATTTTTAAAATAGCACTTTTTGCTTTCATAGCAGATTGACTGCAGGAATCCTTCCGATGGCAAGCTGAACTATTTCCTTTTTAAAAAGTATTTAATATAACAGAAGATCTAAATGCAACTGCTTCTAAAATACATATGTAAATAAAACAAAGTATAACTATAATCTGTGCCAGCAGCCAGAAACAATGTAGTCTGACTGCCATGATCAGATTTATGCCCAAATAAAGCTACTGAGGGAGATTTAACTAAGCACGTTCCCTGGCAACCTGGCCAATGAGGTATTTCTTGGGCCCAGGCTGGCCAAGATCAGGAGGACTAGACTATGTTGCTCCTGATACCCTGTGCTCTTGGAGTTGCTGGAGCTAGCTCTTTTATCAAAATGCCAATTGATGTCCACATTAGACCCCTAAGACATTGGCATTTTAAGACTGAAACCTCTTCAACAGTTTTAGTAATTTAATATTACTTCTTTAAAAATACACACCAGTATATGCTTAAGTTGTGAAACAATTTGCTCTGAAACATGTATACCACAACTTTTCCCCTTCCCCCAAGGTGAAGCGCTTCTCTATTCCTCAACTGAAATAAATGCTTAGGGAAGATCAAGAAAGTGAGAGACTGAGCAGATTCTGAAAATTTGAAATTTTATCATCAAGAACTCTACTAATGTAAATTCTAGTGATTAACAGAACTAAACACATGACAAGTACTCAGTACTTGCCAATTAAACCACAGAACTGAGGATCAAGAAATTAAATACCACTAACAACACAGAATAATCACAAACATAGCATAAGTCATATCATCATGATGAAGTTAGGAAAATATGTTAAGATTTACTACTGCTATTTAAATATACCTCTACAAAATACTCCTTTAAATAGAGTAACAGAAATCTTTTCATTTAAACACCATTGTTCATAGACTCTAAGACAAAATTTAATCACCTCTAAACATACGTAAAACCAGTTGGCCTTTTATAATCAAATGGAGTCTTAAAAAACATTAACAGTACTCTTTTTCCTTCTTAATGGTACATAAAATAATAAGATATATAATTGATAATTAAATACAGAATAATTTATTCTGAGATCAAGCTTGTAAACTTGGTACCATTTGTATTGGCTTAATTCCGCTTTTCATATAGCAGAATTATCTGAATGGTGAGTGAACAATAGTAAAATAACATTTCCAAAAAAAACCACCAAACCGAGTTGCACAATTAGATACAGTACAGGTGACATTATATTTGAAATGGATAGGACAACTACTAAACATCTACTTTACCTCAAAGACAGATATGTTATTCTTTCTGTAAATCTCATTGGCAGGAGGATGGAACCAACCACATTTCTTCATGTGCTGCTGTAGAATAGTTCTACTTTTCATATATTTTAGACAGAATTCACAAAGATACAATTTAGGTAACCTATAAACAATAATTAAAAAAAAAAAAGACAGGGTTTCATATTTTATAAGACTTTAAACTTCCACAACAATTCTTTTTTAACTCTCATTACTCCACAGGTAAAAAGGTAGAGAATGTATCATTAACCCCATTAATCAAATGAAAAGAAAGGGAAAAAAAGATAAAACTAATTTGGGTAACAGTATCCATCTAATTAATAGCAGGAAAGCAAGAATGAGAAATCAAGACACCAAATTCATGTTCTTCTTATTAGACTAATATTCTGCAGTCTTTTTAAGTTACCCCTTTGACAGGTACCAAAAAAAAATCTCACATTCTCTCCAGTAAGTAGAAAATAAAGTCCACCTTCAGAGCACACCAATAAGTAAAGACGACTGTGTCAAGCTGTATATTCTTTCTTCATTTATTAATATCAGAAAATAAACATTTGTCAGGCCCTGCACTAGGTACACTACGTTTACAGTGCTGAAATGGACATATAGTGGATATTATAAAAGCAGATTTTGTATTTCTTTTTAAGTATAAAATTATAATATTGAATGTTTTTTCAAGTTAGGACATGTTACAGTACCTCCTTCTTCCACCTCTGAAATTCTGCCTTTCCCTCTGGTTAAATATTACATTCAATTCTGCAACTTAAAAGTCTATTACTCTCCCGGCCGGTGTGGCTCAGTGGTTAAGCATCGACCTATGATCCAGGAGATCTCGGTTCTATGCCTGGTCGGGGCACATGCCCGGGTTGCTGGCTTGCTCCCTAATAAGGGGCGTGTAGGAGGCAGTCAATCAATGACTTTCTCATCATTGATGTTTCTCTCTCTCTCCCTGAAATCAATAAACACATATTAAAAAAAAAAAAAGTCTATTACTCAACAAGTGAAATAAAAGTTCAAATTATTCTTCCAGATATTATTACTTCATATTTATTCAACAGTTTGCTATTTTAGCAGTAGTATAACAGGACTTCTTATAATGTCCCTTTAATGAGGAGCTAGGCAATAAAGTGATCAGATCAGTTCATACAGTAATGGAAGCAACATGACCTAAATTAAAAACCAGCAGCTTTTATACCTATTTTAGTCTGAATCCAGAAGACCACATGGCTCTTCTATTATAAAAATACACACCTTTTTTAACCCCTGTATCCTGAACTGTGTCCAGAACTGGCCATGCCCTGGTAATCTGAGATCTGATATTATCATTAAAATTGCATATGCAAAATACTAAATGATATGATGACAAAAAATATAATCCAAATAAATTACAATATCTTCTCTCATATAAATAAGTAGTGAGGCTGGAGGAAATTTTAAAAACTCATTAATTTAGTTGCTATCAGTTTGGATATCTATGCTTTAAAAAGATTACCCTGGAATTAAAGAAAAAGTAGATTAGCACACACGAATGTTTGATTTGTCAAAGTGTGAAGACCATAACTATTTTTTCAAGTTCTACTCTAGAAGCAGCTTTTGAAGCATGATTATTTTTCTGAAAACATTTAACTAAACCCTCTCTAAATGTGTATTTATGGAACACTAGTCCTGTCTGCACTAAGTGCTTCATGCTAAAATAAGGGTGGGAAAGGGCATGTGATTTTTTTCCTTCTCTCTTGGGGATTCACATTAATTCTTCCTATACAATCTCACATTTTATTTTTAAACTTCCATTCAGCACAATAAAAGCTTCCAAGGAACTGCTGAAATATATTTCTAAATGTCTACAATATGTAATACTGTTTTCTAAAATCTCTAATATTAGCCAAACCAAAACAACATAAAATTATACATTAGTACAAAACTTACTCCAAAATAAAGTACTGAGTAAAACAAATGACTGACATTAAAAATTTAAGTCAAGAAGTAAGAGCCAAGAACATGGAAAAGAAAGGTTCCCTAAGCTACTTTATTTCCTTTGCAGGCTGTCTCAAACCCCATACTCAAAAAGGAATGGCAGCAGCCCTAGCCAGTTTGGCTCAGTGGTTAGAGCATTGGCCCTTGGCCAGTACCTCCGCTGCAGGTTCAATCCCTGCCCTGCTGGGGCACCTGCAGGAAGCAACCAATCGATGTGTCTCTCTCACATCCATGTTTCTCTCTCCCGTCCACTCTCTCTGAAAAGCAATGGAAAAAATATCCTTGGGTGAAAAAGAAAAGGCAGCAGGATAAACAGCTTTTTCCTTCTTTGCCATCAGAACTAAAAAATCTCAAAATGAAATGGCCCCAACTATAAATGACATCATCTAATGTGGGCACTAGATGTATTAACTGAGTTTCAACGGTGGCCCACAACAACCAGACTGTATCCTGGATACCTGGATTTTGAATAATTTCTTCTTAAAAGGCAGTTAGAAAAATGAAGTTCTTCCTATGCAAATGTAAGTCATGCCCCCCCTCCCCCACTATTCTACCACTTACCTTTATTTACCTGTGCTAAAATCTCAATGAGCAATTATTTCAACTTGTTGCAACATGAAGATAAAGAAGAATCCTTGAGCACAGTTTTACTTTGAGAGCTAAACATTACAACTAAATATTCCCCACAATGTGAATCTGGGAAACCTAAACAAAATTCTGTGCTTTTTGAAATATGGGGGTGGGGGATGCAGAGAGGAAAGGAGAGAAAGGAAGGGAAGGGAAGAAATGAAAGAGAAGAAAGGAAAAGAAGGAAACGATGAAGGGAAGAAAGAAGAAAAAGAGCCAGTGACAGGTCACTAAACTTTCTCCAGATTTTGGTAAACTAATGCCAACTCTAGGTCTCAGTACATGAAAGTAAAATACAATTTACTTCCTAAGGTCTATTAGAGAAGGCCTAATTTTTTTTAAGCTCTATTAAGTAAGTTGTTCAAGACAACATCAGAAGAAATGAAATCTCTGACAAAATTACTAACAAGTCTTCTCAGGTAAACTGAGTTCATGCTATTTCTTTGGAATAATAAGATGTAAAGCATTTTATTGATGAGTAAAAAAAAACTTTAGCAAACCTTATTACATGAAAAATAAGTAAAAGGAAGCAGAATCATGATCTATTTCATTCCAATTCATTCTTGCTGGAAACATTCTAAAAGCCTCTTTATTATAATCAGGCCCACTGGGATGACATTGCTAGTCTATAGGGAATCATCTGATAAAACTCCTGAAAAAACAAAGTGTTTTTCTAGTAATAGTACCAATCGCTGCAGTTTTCTCATTGAAAAAATACATCATCTAGAACATTAGATCACATGAAATAAATTGTCGTTATGACGATTATGAATACTCCTAGCCCTAGAGAATACTGCTAGGTGCTGCTTTTTGTCATCTTCTTCCTGAAAGCACCTAGAACTTGACTATCAAATAGGGGTATGGTTGCTCTGAACAACTTCATCATGGGGTGTAGCCTCCACACTTGAAATTTATTCTAAAGTCAGTCACTATGTTGACAGCCCAGCCTATGAAGTTAGGACTGAGCTACAGCTGTGTGCTTTGGAAGCACTGTTTCCCTTACTTCTACAATGACACAAATATTCTTCCCAGGAATTCTTTCTTGGCTTTTGAACATTGTCCAAGACAGTAGCAGTTTATATAGCCTTCATAATAGGTCAACTTGTAGTACAATTTTAATACCGTAATAAAAATTATAACAAAATACCACTTAAATAAAAGGTAATGGTACAAGCCATCTAAGATCAATCTAAATAGAGATACAATATAAAGTAATACAAGCACAGTGGTTAAAGGTTATGGCTATGGTTGTGGAAGAGAAAAATGGGATTAAATCCTGGTTTTGCCACTTTAATCTGTATGGTCTTGAGTAAGTTTGCTGGTCCCTGGTCCGTAAAACAAAGACAGTAACATCCACCTCAAAGAATTACTCCAGTGATGCTTAGTCCAGTACCAAGCTCAACAACGGTAACTAGAGCTGCTATTATTTCTAATTAGTACTATGATTATTTTTATTCTTTCATCCACTTTACTCCATCATTTAATGGTCATCCAAAGACTTTAAGAATGTGTTCTTCAGTAACTGGGGCTATCCATAGCTTAGGCAATGAATCAAGTTAGGAACAGGATCAAAAGGTTGAAGAAAACTTCCTAAAATACTCAATTATGTGGGAATCTGCCTACTTAGGATCTCAATATGATCTTGCAGCAAAGAGGTTATTATGAAGCTAAGCACTAAACAGCTCTGGAGTAGAGGATATGCCATGATTACAGTAACTCTTGCTTTCAGCCTATCTCCATCCTGTTTTTAATGGGAGAGTGGGGCTCTCTATGAACCTGTCTATCATGTGTGACCATCACATGGCCCTGTTGGAGAAATTCAGAGTTAAAACTCTAATTTATACTCTTCAATGTCTGAGACTTAATCTACTGCTCCAAATGAAGTATTACTATCGCTTCATTGTTGTTGTTTCACTTTGTTTTTTCTTAAAGTCAGGGATGTAAGATTACTTAATATACAATGCACACACAAATGTTTGATATTATGAGAGATAATGCATAATCCCACTTCCCAAGAGATTTTCCCTCTTGTGATCTTTTTGTTTGCTCCAACTGTCATCTTTTTACCTGCTTTGGGATTTGCAATTTTTTTTTTAAAAAGGTGTTTAAAACCTTTAATAAAAAATAATTTAGGAGTAATTTAGCAAAGAATAATGAAGTCATTAATGAAGTAAGGATACAGGATTATTATTATGAAAACTTAAATCTCTAAACATTTTAGTCACCTAAGTTGAAAAGAACTCAGAAGTAAAACAAGACAAAATTTATTTAAATAGATATTAGTTTTTTTAAAATGCAACCAAGATAATTATGAATACATAGAAAAAAGTCATGATTATTTAAGAGCCTATTAAATTACAGAATATTTTCTGATGAAAAATTTGGAGAAACCTCCACAATGGATAAGAAAAATGTCTAAAATTCTATTTCAAGTTGATGAATTTTTACAATTCCTGTCCTATTGCCACTTTCTATTATGATTCCTAGTATATGTTTTTGTTACTTATTTTTCTGTAGCAATGTTTATTCCTTCACTGACAACCAATGCCCTAAAACCTGATAAGAAATCAGGTTTAGCGATAATTTCATCAAAACAAAAAGCAACATTCTTAATGAAGCCTTTTAACATCCTAAAAGACAACAGCCTCATGTTCAATTCTTATCAATTCTTTTGATAAGCAAGTGCTGAGGCTGACTCAACTGATTTCCTCTCTTCCCCTAGAGTAGAAGAGACAAGGTACCTATGGTATCTATCTATACCACAATCCTGAAACAGTTGATACACACATTGAACAAGATTTCTTTTCCAAGCTGAGCACTCCTGTAATGTGCATAGCTTGCAGAGAAAAGAGCTCACTAATAAATGGTAATATTTTAAACCTGATGAAGAAATTAATTCCTCAGCATATTTCTTCTTGTATACATCATTCTGGCTACTCAGAACTACTAAGGAGTAACTTGTCTTGAATACCTAAGTTCTGTAGGTAGTTGAGAAATTACATGCCCTCTTTGAACATATATGTGTTATATATGTGTGTGTGTGTGTGTAATCTTTTAAGAAACTCAGATTATTGTTATTCCATGATATAAACAGAATGCTGCTTTAAAGATCTACCACACTGTTTAGGGCTAAAAGACCCTGTAATAAATGGTTCTCAATTGCTGTTTCATGAGCTTGTGTGTTAGTTTCCTGGAGTTTCGCTTTCTCTTCTGGTGTTTTTTTTTTGCTGTTGTTGCCTGTTTGTTTTTCCTTTTGTCACGGAGATCTGTGTCTGTAATAACATTCTTACTCATATTTTTCTACTTCTGCTAGACTTGGAAACTAGATAGCAATTTATATGAAAAGAAAATGTAAAAAAAAAATTACTAAGTTTTTTAACAAATATTCCCAGCTTCCTGGAAATAACTCATGTTAAAGCACTCTGTAAATCAGAGTGTAAATCACTAAATGAATTAATGTTGTTATAATTATTTTTACTAATATTTTGGACAAGCAATGTTACTAGACAGGTAAAATGTCATACAATGAGTACTTTGAATAGGTGTTTAACCCACAGAGCACCATAACTTATTATTCCTTACAACAACCTGCTAAATAGGAAACTATGGAATAATTTACAGATTAAAGAGAGCATTAATGTGACTGCTATACTTCAAATGACAACCATGTTTAATTTTTTTGACCAAATATTTTATTTTTCAACTCTTTTAATTTAAACCATAAAGGAAAAAAATAATAATAACTGACACTATNATGTGACTGCTATACTTCAAATGACAACCATGTTTAAGTTTTTTGACCAAATATTTTATTTTTCAACTCTTTTAATTTAAACCATAAAGGAAAAAAATAATAATAACTTACATTATTCAGAGGGATGGAGGAGGGCAGGTGGGTGGAGGGGGAGAGAGTAACCAAAGAATTTATATGCACATACACACAACACAAGGACACGGACAATGGTGGGGAAAGGGACTGGGAGGAGGATGGGACGGGGTGGAAGGGGTCATTGGGGAAAAAAAGGGACATCTGTAATATTTTAAACAAAAATAAAATTTAAAAAAAAAACACACAAAAAAACCCCTGACATTATTGAGCACTTACCATTTTCTAAGTCATTTACATGTTTTAACCCATGCAATGTTCACAACAAACCCTATGAGATTGGTACTATTATTATCCCCATTTTAAAGATGAGGAAACTGAGGAGCAGGGTTGTTGGGTAACTTCTAAGGGCAGCTTATATATGTCAGAGTTGAGTCATGAAATAATTTGGCTTTACTAAATAAGCACAATGTCTCATCCCAAAAAGCTGGTGACAGATCCATTTTTATATCTGGAAACCTGAGCTATTTATATATAATTTAATACCACTTGTCCAATTATTTCTGGGAAAACAAACCATCAAGTTTGTTAAATTATAAAAATTTAGATAAAAGGCTACTCAGTGAAACTTAATTTATAGGTAAGTATAAGAATCTTTTTTAAAAAAATATGTGTTTTTATTGACTTCAGAGAGAGGAAGGGAGAGGGAGAGAGAGAAACATCAATGATGAGAGAGTCATTGATCGGCTGCCTCCTGCATGCCCCGTACTGGGGATTGAGCCTGCAACCCAGGCATGTGCCCTGATTGGGAATCGAACCTTGATCTCCTGGATCATAGGTTGATGCTCAACCACTGAGCCAAGCTGGCTGGGCTCTCTCTCTCTTTTAATTCTTAGTGTGGGGTATATGAAGGCAAATTGTCTTAAAGAAAAAAATGTTCCCCTTTCATTCTGACCATGTGTCAGGCCTTCTATTTTTAAGTATCAGCTTTTGGGCAAGTTACAGGAAAACAAATCTAAAGCCAACTGGGATTAAGTGACTGCCAAAGTATGCTGCTATTACGGACATTTAAAAGCCACTAGTTTGGCCCAGCTGGAGTGGCTCAGTGGTTGAGCATCGACCCATGAACCAGGAGATCACAGTTCAATTCCCAGTGAGGGCACATGCCCGGGTTGCGGGCTCGATCCCCAGTAGGGGGCCTGCAGGAGGCAGCCTATCAATGACTCCCATCATTGATGTTTCTCTCTCTCCCTCTTCTGAAATCAATTTTAAAAACACATTTTAAAATAATAAATAAGTAAGTAAATAAATAAATAAAAGCCACCAGTTTCCTCAAATGTAAAAAGATTAAATAGACTGAAATGTAACCAGGATCTCTTCTAGTGGTGCTGAAGTTCTATGAATTTAAAAACAGAAGGTAAAGGTTCTCTCAAAACATACCTTGAGTATTCTTGAGGATATGGGGAAGAGTACCAGGTGTGAATTTCATACTTCCCAAACTCAATGACAGAGGGACAGCGGACTTGTGGATCAGGGGGACCAGTCACTCCAACTTTCTGTGCAGGCAAAAAATACATTACAAAATTTAGCTAAATCAAGTACACTGATATAGATAACAAAGCAAACTAAACAAAAAAACAATCTGAATCTAAATGTTGTCTTCTCTGAATTCCACAGAACAAAAAAGCCAAGAACAAGCTAAATTTTGAAGTAAGCTGTATTATTACTTAAGTAGAGGACCCAAATCAAGAACAAAAATGCTGATAAATCTTAGAGCCTAATACGGTTGGTGTGACTGGATTTCCATGTTTAATAATACTGTGAATACTTTCCTCAACTAAATTCACGCCCTTAGTCACTTAGTTATTAAAGAGAAACTGCTGGCATTTGGGAATAGAAGATAATCATTTGTAAGAAGTGGGGGAGGAGTGCTGCACATTTGCCAAGGTTATATATATAGTGCCTCAACTGACAACAGAAACAACCCACTGAACATCTGAGCACATACAGAAAAAAATAACTTTCTGGTTTGGGAAAGTAGATATTTAGAAACAGCAGGGAAAAAATATGGCAAAACAAGTATCAAGAGAGTCTTCAATTCATTTTACACTGCCCCTAAAATTCCCTTCATTAGTAGCTCTTCACAGACTTGACCAAAGAAAAAAACACTGCTATACACATACTGTAATCCCTTTTATCTACCTTATATTTATAATAAAAACAATCTCTATGCTTTCATCCTGCAATAATCTGAGTAACTATACCTTCTAAAAAGAATAACTTGTAAAGCCTTTATGACTTCCACACCATCAATACCAATATAAGCCATTGTTAAGGACTATAAAGATCAGGTTTTAAAACCTTAAGTTCTAGGGCAATTTGATTTGCTCTGAAACCAATATAGCAACATATTCATATATACATACATGTACACGTGTGTATATTATGTATATAATACATGAGTATGTATATGCATATTTATCATAGATACTCTAGAAACATTAACTGAATAAAGAAAAAGATAGGTCCTGGCTGGGTGGGTCAGTTTTTAGAGCATCGTCCTGTACACAAAAAGGTTGCAGGTCCAGTTCCAGGTCAGGGCGAGTACCAGAGGCAACAGATCGATGTTTCTTTCCCCCTCGCCTCCCCCCCACCAAATCAATAAACTGATCCTCAGATAAGGATTAAAATTTTTTTTTAAAAAAGGGAGATATTTTTTAAGTCCCTTCTTGGAACCCATAGACACACAGACAGGCACAAACAGGCGCGCGCGCACGCACACACACACCCCAACCCCACAAAACTGAAAAGATCAGAGATTTTTTAATTCACTTTTTTAATAGAAATTCATTTAAGGAAGAAGCCTCTTCACTACAACTCACTGGAACACTCTCCCTGGTCTGTTTCCTTTTATAAAAAGCTAAGGGACTTATCTCAGGTGTCATACTGGAATATAGCCAGGTGAAACCTCAACTTTTTCCTTAGACACCTCAAAACAAAAGATAAACATCTATTAAGTTGGATGGATTGTGTTATGACACTAAGGAGTACTGGGGATCGTCCAAAGGCAAAAATCATAAGGAAATAGACAAGACAGGGTTAAAATAAAATTTTTTCATTTCTCAAAACCAAAATAGAACTTTGTAGGCTTTTAAAACATTGTTCTTTAAACTATATTCCAGAATCAAGTATTCTAATTCATAAAGTAGTATCTTTTAACCTATCTTCACAGCTCAAAATAACAAGGACAGCAGTACAGTCAGAATTATCAAATATCAGAAACTAGATCTAATTTCCTCAGCCAAGGATCGAACAGGACGCACAAAAGCTGAAAACATGCACCTGTTGCAGCACTGCCTGTTGTTTGAGAGCTTTCCCATCAGCTGCCTGTCGCTCTTCCAGGTGGATGCCTGATGTGAAACTGGATATCCAGTTCCAGTATAACTGCTTGCACATCACCGCAACTAAGAGAGTCTGTGTAAAACTATACTCACAGCAGATTTCCCCACTGCCTCACCTACCCCCACCTTTGTGCCCTGTAAAATGTTCTGGCACATGCGCTCTTCCACCTCTGTCCTCCACCACCTCCAATTCCCTGGTGCAAGTTTCCTGAGCCAGTGTGCTTCTGTTTACTAAGGTTGAGAAGTTAACAAAGGCTCTATTCTGTGGGGAAGCAACAGCTGCATCTACACTAGTCATTAACCCAGTCCTTGCCAAAGTCAAATTGTCAATCTGAATTACAAGGTCACCTTTGCTAGGCCATTTTATTTTTAAATTTCAGCCAAAATACTCTTTCATTAAACACACAACTTTCCAAAGCAACAGGTACCTGATATAATCGAGAGCACAAAATATTTTTTAAAACTACTAATTCAAGTTCTGCCACTTTGTACCCTCCTTCTCATTTGAATATGCCAAAATCTTTAAAAGATGACAAATATTCTAGGCCAGAATGGACTTTTCAATCTAAAAAAGTTAAGGGAGGACACTAAATGCACTAGTAATTGGGATAACCAAAAAATAACTTTAAATATGCCTATTCTAGATAATGGAACTTTTATTACTAGCAGTTTAGAAGAAAAGATTATTCTTCTACAAAAACTCCACTTCCATCAAATAACTTATCTAACTCCAATTTCCAATATATAGAGGCCACTCTTGCAGTACCCTTAAATTCAGATTTAGTACAAACATGAAAATTACAATTCATGTAGATACAGCCCTGTTCCCTTCCCTTTGCCCTCCATTAGATAACTCCCCCTTCCCTGACCTTCTTTTTCCATCTCCCCTATGGAAATGACATTTTGAGGTGGGAGTGGAGGGTAGTACTGCACCCTTATTATCAATATGAGAATGTGAAATGTGGGGAGAAGAGATGTTTTTCTGGTATTTTAACATTTTCCCATAGAAACACTATAATAAAAAAAAATTTCATCCATTAGGGATTAAAAGTGACATGATGAAAGATATATGTAAGAATGAGTTCACATGCTACCAAATAAAGAGAGCAAGAACTTAATAAAGAGAATCAGCATTTGTGAAACACCTACTGTGCCAGACTCTGTGCCTTATATCGTTATCTCATTGAATCCCCACAATCCATTCCTCAAAGTAGGAAACAATATGCTCACTTTATAGATGAGGGGAAAAGCCACAAGGCTCAGAAAGGTTAAGAGGCAAAAACCTCCTGAATAGAAATATCAAGAAAGAAGCACAAAGAACAAAATGGGTAGCAGTGAAAGAGGAAATATGGGTAACCCCCAACTAATTAATGATCTAAATTCCAAAAGTCTGCAAGTTTTTTTGAACTGAAACTTAAGTTTTCCAAAGAAATGAAGCTACAAGTCCACAGAATCTTATCCAAAACTCTTGGAAGAGGATGTGCTCTGGAATCCTGAATTTTTCTGATGTTAAAAAAGTATTACAGTACATATATGTATCTTAAATCAACAACTCTTCTAGGATTTGGGGAATACTCCATAAACAGACATCACTGATATTTCTTTAGCAAAACATATGAATAGTCACATTAAGGGGGTAAGTAAAGAATACATATAATCTCACGTCAGTTCAAGTCATGTTTTGCCAATAATTAAGTGAGATCTTAATGTAAAATGAGTTATAAATCTTTTTTCATTCTCCAAAAAAGATGCACAGATGGCCAACAGGCATATGAAAGATGCTTACCATAACTAATCATTAGAGAAACGCAAGTGCAGACCACAATGAGATAGGACTTCATACCCATTAGAATGGCTACTAACAACAATAAAAACCAAAAAAAACAAAAACAGGACAAAACAAAAAAACAGAAAACAACAAGTGTCGACAAGAGTGTGAAGAAACTGGAAGGAACTCTTGTGCATTGCTGATGGAAATGTAAAATGGTGCAACCACTGTGGAAAACAGTTTGGCAGTTCCTCAAAAAATTAAACATAAAATTACCATATAAATCAGCAGTTTTACTTCTGGGTATATAAAAGAATTGAAAGAAGGAACTTGAATAGATACTTGTCCACCCGTGTTCACAGCAGCATTATTTGCAATAGCCAGAGGGTGGAAGCAACCCAAGTGTCCACTGGCAGATGAATGGATAAACAAGATTTGGTAAATACATACAATGAAATATTATTTAGCCTTTTTAAAAGGGAAAGAAATTCTGACACATGCTACAACATGGATGAACCTTGAAAACATGCTAGGTAAAATAAGCCACACACAAAAGGACAAGTACTGTATGATTCCACTCATATGAGGTCTACCTAGAGTAGTTAAATTCAGACAGAAAGCAGAATGGTGGTTGCCAGAGGCTGAGGAAAAAAATGGGAAGTGTTTGTTTAATCGGCCATTCTTTCTCAGTTTCACCAATCTCTAAAAGGTGAAATATCCCAAGACTCCTCAAAGCTCTTTTCTTCTCTTTTGGTGATCTTATCTAGTCTCATTCCTTCAAATAACACCAACTTGCCGACAAGTCCTAACTTTAAATTTTTAGCCCAGACCTGTGTTTTGAACTCCAGACACATGCATCCCATTGTCTATTTGATAGCTCCTCTCCTGAATGTGTTATAGGAATCTCAAGTCCAACAGTCCAAAATCAAACTCCAGATCTTCTTTTCCCCAAACCTCTTCCTCTTGTATTCTCCTCCATCTCAGTAAATGGCAACTCCCTCCTCCAAGTGTGCTCTGGACTTGACTCCTCATTTTCATAACCATCCAATCCAACAGCATATCCTAATGGGCCTACCTTCAAAATATAATCAAGAATTCCAATTGACCACTACCACAATGATCCATATCTATTACATCAGAGGTGGAGAACATCCAGCCCACAAAATCATTTGGTCTGGGCCTGCCAAGGCCATTGCAGGTGGGACTCGAAAGTCAATAAATGTAGGAGCCTTTTTCACAGCTAATTTTTAAGTTGATAATTCTGTACGGCCCGTGGATGATGATATAAATATTCAAATGGCCCTTGGCAGAAAAAAAGTTTCCCAAACCTTACGTGGATAATGCTAATAGCCTCCTAAGTTCTCCCCGCTTTTGTATTTTCTCCCTTAAATCTACACAGAAGCCAAAGCCATTCTGCTATAACGCATGTCAGGTTGTGTCACTCTTCTGCTCAAAATCCTCCAAGAGTTCCTATCTTACTCAGAGTAAAAACCATAGTCTTTATAATGGTCTAGAAGACTCTATAAAATCTGGCTTCCCATTACCTTTCTGTCTTCATAATCTATTTTCTCTTCTCAGCTCTAACCTCACTGGCCTCCTTGTATTTCCTTGACCATGCTAAGCACAAAAACCAGATTCAGGGCGTTTGTATTTCTGTTCCCCTGCCTAGAATGCTATTCCCTCTGATATCCACATGGTTTATTCCCTCTCCTCCTTCAGGTTTCTACTAAACGTCAGACAGTCCCTAACACAACAATTTAAAACTGCACAAATCCATCCCTTCCCTCTGACTTTTCTCCATAACATTACCATATGGCATACCATTTACCATCCTCACCCCAACTAAACTATAAGCTCCACAGAATAAGAATTTTTTAAAAAATCTGTTCACTCTCGTATATTCAGTGTCTGGCACATGGTAACCCAGTATTCAGTAACATCTGTTAAATGAATGTTATCTATAATAACTTCAGCTATTACCTATGTAGTTTCACCTATCCCCTGTTGCTCCTACCTGGCAAAGCTCCTACCCAAAAGTCTCCTGACCTCCACATACAAGTCTACAAAAGTTCTCCATTTTAGGCTTTATACAAATCCCCAACTTATGTATGCATGGTCTCTTCCTCCATCCAAAAAAGCTCCTCTTACCACATTTAGTATCATCATGTACTCAAAATAGAAGAACAATGGGAGACCTATTTGGTTCCATCTTCTTCAACTCTAATTCCCAACCCAATAATATGTCTTTTCCATTCTATCCTAAATGTTTTTCAAAATCTCTGCCTACTGCACCTCTTGTGCCTTCATTTAGACCCTAGTCACTTCTCATTCTAACTATTGTAATCACTGGACTGATATATGTCCTTGTTCAAGTATTCTTCAATCCACTATGCACTATATTACCAGAGATGAATTTCTAAATGCAAAACAATAATGTCACCCTCTTTTTAAAAATTCCTCAGTAGCCTTTCAAGAACTACTTGACTACTTTAAAAAGCTACTGTAACTAAAAAATAAAGTACAAAACTTCTTAGCATGTACCATAGGATCTTTGTGATCTGGTACTTACCTTTCAACTTCATCTCTTAACGTGTACAGCCAAATTAAATACATCCAGCTCCAAAGGTTCAATAAGCTTTCTTACACCCAAACTGTTCTATCTGAAATACCTTCCTCTTCTTATGCAGTAGTAAGCTGTTATTCATTCCTTCAACACCCTGTTCAAATATAACTTCCTCTACAAAGGCTCCAGTAAAGATGCCTTCTTGTTCATTCTCATTGCATCTTACGCAAATCTCTATGGTAACATTACACCATAAACTAAGCAGTTAAGAGTTAAGGATCTAGGGTCAGAATGCCTGGATTCAAATACTGATTCTAAAGCTTAACTATGTAACTCTAGATAAGATAATCCTTCTAAGACTTCAATTTCTTCATCTGCAAAATGGGAGCAAGTAATAACAAGGTTGTATTTAAAGCAACAAATTGATACAAAATGCTGAATGTAGTACCTGGCACATAGAAAAAGAGTACCTATTACTAATTACATGGTTTTAATTGTTTATCACTGTCTCCCCAGCTGGAGAGAAGAGACACATTTTCTATTCATCTATGTATTTCTAGCATCTGCCCCTAAGATAGCTAACAGCAGCTCACATTTATCTAGCCCTCACTAAATGAATGATGACACACTAAGAATTTTGCAAGTATCTACCCATTTAATCCTTTCAATAAACCTATTAAGTAATTTGTTCAACCAAGGTCACTCACCAGAGACAGGATTTGAAGTCTGTATCTAGTGCCTAGGCCTTTAACCACGGTCTATTAAAATTCTCAATAAAATTGTGCTACATTGTGAAATAAGTGAATTCAAAATACATCTAAACAGCCTTTAATATGTCTTATAATTAATGCGTAAATGCCTAAGATATTAAAACAGTCCCTCACTTCCCATCCCTATTTTCATCAATAGCAAGGAGAAATCACTCCAACAATAACCAAAAAAAGCAGTTATGGGGCTACCTTAAATTCCTGGCATGCCAAGACTAATGTCCTCTTACTAGCATTCAAAACCTGCCAATATCCAGTTCTATGCTAGTAATTCAACATATTTCTTACCATTTCCTAACAAATGTTTAACTGTTTTATCTCTCACACTAAACTACAGACTGTCCTTGCTTTCCATGGTGACATGTTAACTGAAACTTACACATACCAGAATTGAGATCAAGTATCAGTCCCCACAGAAATGTGTAAAGCATGGATGCGATTCTGATGTGCACATTTCCACTAACACAGTGCCATGCAAAGTAAGGACTGCTGTGTTATAACACTTTTATGGGCAACTATTGTATTTTCTACATCATTTCCACAGTGTGCCTTGCACAAGGTAGGCCCTCAAATATTTGTTGATCTGATGGGCCAATAATCGCAATGTCTCTTGTATTTATAGCAGTTATTTATTCCTCAAAGCTGAAGTTAATGTTTACCCCACCTGGTAAGCCCTCTTTCTCTCCATTTACCTAACTCCTAATCATCCTTTGAGCCTGCTTCTTTTATGAATATCTGATTGTTAGCATAGGTAATTAGCAAGGTCACACCAATTCTTACTTATTCTTAGTATGCTGTGAACTTATGGAATAATCTGTATCATTTAATACAGCAATGAATTATATAAATTGGTATTCTATGCCACCATTTATCTCTTATATACCTTTCCCTACTTGTCACACGGGACTGAGCTCTAACTACACCAGAAAAGTCACACAACTAAAAATTGCAGTTTCCTCATATGGAAAATAGGGATAATAATCTTTACCTCAGAGGGTTAGGAGAGTTATTGAACATAGCTTACTTCATTTCTAATAACTCTTCAATTTTTTATGCAAAAAAAATTATTTTAATACCCCAGATGTAAAAAATGCTGTTAACAATCAAATCCTTCAAAACTAAAAAGCATTAAAATTAAGTATGGAAATATAATGTGCTATTTGGTAATATTTTATGTAAAAATCATTCTATATATTTCAAGAAGGCCGTTATACTCCAATGGAATGAGATGAATACTTCTTTCTGGTGATGGACCTCTAAAGAAAAACCATTTCTTCCAAGTTCATAAAATGATTGTTGAAATAAAATTCCAGAACAGAAGCCTACTCTAGTAATTTTTTATGCTTCTATTTTTCTTTTCAGAGATGGCTCTTTTTTATAGACGTGTTCCCTATATAGTTAATGATGGAACAAACTATATCCTTATTTCTCCTGAAATTAAAAAAAAAAAAAAAATCAAAACCAATTAATGAATGGCCCTTTTGATAAAAATCTTGCTAAGCATTTCAATAACTCTTGAATTAGTAATATATCACAAGAAATTTAATTACTCCAGATAATCATTATGTGCAAACATTGGAATTGCTTTTTTGAATTTCCTACTAATTTGTAAACTCTATGTCTTACTCATATAGCCCCTAAACCTAGCAGTTTCTAGAACAAAGCAGGTGCTCAATAAATGATGAGTTGTTGGCTGGATGGGTTCCAATATTAACTCCTCTATCATTTACCTCTTAATGGTACAACTGTTCGACTACCTAAGATTTTAATAAAATTTTCCTGCAAAATTTTTGAAACGAAGTTGAAGCAATTTCTACTAAGCCATATCTAGGCTCTCAAAAATAACTTTGTTCATTATCTTTATGGATGCTTTATTATTTCAAAACATCCTCTGATCTAATCAGCAGTGACTTTTCCATGGACTTCAACCCACTTTATTACATTAAGTCAGGGAACCTAGGAATCATCCTTGATGACCTCTTGCTCCTTCAAATTACATAGAATCTATCACCAACTGCCACTGATTCCATCACTAAAATATATTTTAAATCCATCTACCCCACTCCCATTTCCACTGCCTCCTCTCTAGTTTAAGCTGCCAGTTTCTTTCACCTGGATCATTGAAAAACCCTCAAGATTAGTTTCCCTCCTTCCACTCTTACCACTTCCAATCCATTCTTAATATGGTGGCCAAGAAAAAACAATTTTTAATGCAAATCTGATCCTGCTATTTCCTTGCTAAAACTTTTTCAGTGGTTTCCCACTACAATTACAATAAATACCCCAAGTCCTAACCTACAGAAGGAAAATAATTTTACAGAGAAAAAACATGGAAGAATATTCCCAGATCGGATGGATAAATAAACTGCTGTTACTGCTTTACTCACAATATAATTAATCCTGTTTCTCATCCATGAACAAATAGTGATTGTCCAATCCGAATATCCAACTTTACCTGCAGTGCTTGTTCTTGGATATCGCGAAATAACTCCATATCTTTCTCAGTCATGATTTCCTGGCTCCCAAAAAGCCGTTCCTCACTTTCTTGTTTGCCATCCCAGCCATCCTGATTGTCTGTATATAAAGAAAGGGTTCACACAGTAATATACTAACCTTAGTTTAATAGATCATCTAGATAAAAATTTCAGAAGTCTTTATTTCAGTTTGAGGACCTCAATATTATTTATATTATTATTTTATCAACAGAGGATAGCATTAAACTGACTCCTAGAAAGATAGCAGTAAACAAAAAATATATACATATTATATCTGCCTTATAATAAAAACCTTGAATTGCCTTCTTAAAATACTACATAACTAAATTTAAACTTCATTAAAAGAGATTACATTTTAATGTATTATAGCACATACAAAAGCAGAATAGGAAAATGGTCTAAGGAGTATAAAATTTATTTTAAAGTAGTATGAATAGAACACTTTTAGTAATAAGTTTAACATAACATTCAAATATTGTTTTTTCATTCCTTGGTAGTATGGAAGAAGTTTATGTTATAGCAAGACATAATTTTCATCCCCTGGGAGGAAAACAGGGAAAATTTGCTCTTTTCAAACTTCTCAGTGATCATACAATCACCATAAGGGGCCAATACATTCTTATCTCAGCAAAAAGATAAACTTTGAGATAACTACCTTAACTGATGTCAAGAAGTACCCACTCCCTTCACATTCTGGATGCCCTTTTAAAGTAAGAACTCCACAAACCTGAGGACCATAGATGATAATCCTTTGGGTAAGTATGATAAATTATAATAATCACTCCACTAAACGAGGCATCTTCCTCAAACGGACAAAGAAATTAGTGAAGGAGTATTGGGGGATTACGTGGATCACTATCCTTTGCATTTGAATATGACACTGCTGATAGTGTATCATCAGCACTTCCTCTCTGTATGAATGTGGTTGAAGAGACCAATTAGTGAAGTAATTCTTTTCATATCAACTGCACATATAGGCTGCCTGTTATTCATTTAGTGTAAAAAAAAGGACAAGGACTCACTGTTCACAATATTCCCAAATTGAAAAATACATATATATAATCTAAAGATACTGTGTGACTTGAATGCCCCCTAGTGCACGACACAGACAGATGCAGGCACAGATCTAGTACAGCATTCAGTAGCATTATCAGATGGTGCAAGGTTGTTCCTTAAACTCTAAAACTCATAAAAGAAAATGACAGCCAATTAAAGCAAAAGCACACACCAATGCCTAAAGTTCAATATTGGTTCTCCATATACCTTATACAATTGCTCTAATAAATTTATATTTCTATAACTTTCCAGTAGATTCTTCTAGTAATCTATCTACAGTGAAATGGTTAATTCAAAAATGCCTTTCATTAAGATCTGCTTTATAAGATTCTTTCCATCTAAATCCAAACTAAGTGGCTTGCATATCTTCTTAGATAAGCATGCTCAAACTGGAGCTTATCTACAGTCTACATGGCTGATAAAGACATAAAAAGTACTTAAATGCTTCGAGTAATTAGTTGATTGCCACTGGTGAAAACCTGATCAATACTGCATTAAAAAGAGGAACCTGACAATGATGAGAATTTTCTCTTTTGCACTGGACCAATCAACCATTTATATAAGCAAGAATGAGGAAGCAGCAAATACAATCACCAATGGGACATTCAGAGGAAGGAAATCAAAGTGAAGAAATCCTCTTACAATATATGAGACAAGAGAGGCTTGTGATCCCAGAAAGTCCACTCTCATTCTTCTCCTTTCCTCAGAGCCCTTTCTACTTCCTTCACAGGGTTAGGTTCTCTAAACTCACAGCACTCAAGCAATAAAGCCAGTTTAGGCTTTCATTATCTGAACAGCTAGTTGAAATTTTCTCCTCAGACTTGGATTACCTGCTACACTATTAAGTATTCTCCACAGATATTTTCTACTTTGAGAAGTAGCCAACTTAGCCTGATATATAAGCAAATGGTCTGAAGCTATGGTTCTCTCTCTCCGTTTTAAGTGCAATCCATGAAAATTTACAACTTTATTTGCCAAGATTTGAAGTAGAAAAATCAATGAGCCTATTATTTACATGTGTTTTATTCATTTCCTTATGCTTAAATCAACAGCATTTTATCCACCCTCACTCTTTCCAATTTCCTTCCAGGAATAGGGTAAACATCATGATGCTCATCACATGATTTTGTAATTTATGAAATGTAAAGTTATCCTTGATTCAAGATTATAGCCCAACTTTCTGCAGGCAGATTCTTGGTGGTCCTACCAAAAAAAAGCACCTTTTTCTGTCTAAGAGCTCCTACTTGTCCCTTCTGTAACTTCATGTCTAGCCTCTAAATTCTTGCCGTAGTTATCACCTTATTATCATTATGTATCTTTAATGCATTCTTATACTCCATAACTAATTTTTAATAATCAAATATAAGTCTATTCCAGAGAGCTAGTGTTATTACAAATAATATACTTTTGGAATACTTTTTGTTTCTAAGTGAACAAACTTTTACCTGTGGGCCAATCTGAAGTGCTTGATTTTCTGTTGCCCTTTTTCCTGATTCTGTATTGCTCAGAGTAGTCTACCACTTCCCCTCGTGGTTTCCGCCCATCAGGGGAAGGGGTGAAGAATTTGGTAAGGCCATCAATGAGCCCTTTGGTTTTCTTGTTGAATTTCAAGGAGACACTGCTATCTCTGCAGAAGTCCAAGCCATCTATTCGCTCTAAATATCCTTCTTCTGATGATGATGCTGATTGGCTGGAGAGAGTGATTTTCCGTTTCCTACCCCTTCCAGGGCCAGTTCGAACTTTGCTGAAAGGACCTTTTGATCTAAAGAATTAAACAGGGAAAAAGATAACTATTAATAAATAATCTGTATAAGGTTTCTATTTAATATCTAACATATAATTAGTAAATGACCAACATACAGCTTTATTTTTAAAAATTCTGTATTGCCCGGCCGGGCATGGCTCAGCAGTTGAGCGTCAACCTAGGATCCAGGAGATCAGGGTTCGATTCCCGGTCAGGGCACATGTCCGGGTTGTGCGCTTGATCAATGACTCTCTCATCATTGATGTTTCTGTCTCTCTCTCCCTCTCCTTTCCTCTCTCTGAAATCAATAAAGATATATTTTTTTAAAAAAAAATTCTGTATTAAGAATATTTCATGCCCGGCCAGGCGTGGCTCAGCGGTTGATCGTTGACCTAGGATCCAGGAGATCAGGGTTCGATTCCCTGTCAGGGCACATGCCCAAGGTTGCAGGCTCGATCCCCAGTCGGGAGCATGCAGGAGGGAGCCAATCAATGCCTCTCTCATCATTGATGTTTCTATCTCTCCCTCTCCCTCTCCTTCCCTCTCTCTGAAATCAATAAATATATATATATTTTTAAAAAGTATTTCATAAACTATAAATAAAAGTCCTATGATCTCTGTGCCAACTCAAACTTACACTTTTACGTTTAAACACAAGGATGGGTTATTCTCTGAAAGTGAGGAGTCAAAAGATCAATTTATAAAGCTTGACTTAAGATTTAAAATATGAACTACAGGCCCTGGCTGGGTAGTTCAGTTGGTTAGGGCTTCATTCCAATACGCCAAGGTTGCAGGTTCAATGCTCGGTCAGGGCACATACAAGAATCAACCAGTGAATGCATAAGTAAGTAGAACAACAAATCAATGTTTCTCTCTCTCTTCCCCTTCCTCTCTCTCTAAAAGTCAATCAATAAATAAAAAATATATGATCTACAATGCTGGTTCTATATATTTCAATCTGTTGCTACCCATTCATTTCAAATGTATCACCTTCAAGATACTCTTAAATATAGAAAAGGTGGGTAAAATTTTTAAGAATAAAGAGATTTACAGGCCTAAAGATATTTTACATTATCATCAAAAGTGAATTACCTTAGATATACTTTAAAAAAACAACCAAGAGGTAGGAATCTTGTCCCACCTCCTCCAGACATAGCCCAGTTTCCTAGTCCACAAGGGATAATTATATCCTGATTTCTGCTAATAGAGCAAAAACTTGCATTATTTTACCTCAGGACATAAAAATAACACTTAGCTATGACCTCAATAGAAGCTATCCAGTGATTTTTACTTCTAATAGAAATAAAACTACAGAGACTAATATCAGGAGAAAAATCTGTGAACTGCTAAGTAACATAATTTTTTCTTTCTTGTTTTTTCTAGAAGGCAATAGTTAAGAACCAGGCATTAGTGCTAGACTACTTGAGTTTTAATCCCAGCTCAACATTTACTATAAACTTGTGCAAGTTAATCTCTCTATGCTGTAGTTCCCACTTTTGAAAAATAAGAGTAACAACAGTCCCTAATTCATTGGGTTGTTGGGAGAATTAAATGATTTAACACATGTAAAGCACTTAGAAAGTGCCTTGGAAATTTATTAAGGGCTCAATAAATGTTAGCCATTATTAATACATAAAAATGCCAGTTATAACCATTGAAATTTTTTTCATAGAGCAAACAAGGGAATCCTACACTATAGAGAAGGCCCTATTATAGAGAAGGCCCTATCCTTTTCTCCCCTCACCTTGCCACAAGTACAACTTACACCGTGTTTTGTTTCTTTAACCTGTTTTTGGGACGTCCTATTGGATTAGCATAGCGCCGTTTTATCTGTGCCGCCTTCTTCTGTAGAAGTTTTCGTCCTTTTTTCCTAGGTCGACATATCTGACATATCCACATGCCTATAAAGAAAAAACATTCCACATAAAAGCACAGTAGATATAAATACACTGAAAGAGTTAAGATACTCTTAAGTCAGGAGTACTTAACCTCTTTCAGATCAAGGACTCTCATTTGAAAATCTGATGAAGCCCCCCAGAAAAATAAACATGAAAACATATACACACAAAATTCTACATATAATTGGAAGAGATTCACAAATACCGGAAGTCCACTAATCCTCAGTTAAAAATCCCTGCTCTATACCTAGCACCCAGATACTGGTTTCTAATTACCATTCTATAAGAAAAGAAGCCAGCATTCTATAGAGTCATGACTGACTCTAGGACTGGCAAAGGGAAAATGCAAGATAACCTAGAACATCTTATGGTGCCAGATAACCAAAAAGTGCTCAAAACGTGATGAAGACATATCAAAAGGGCACGGGAACCAACTTGAAGGAGCTCCCCACAGTCAAATCTGGGTCAAACTTAGCAAAAAAAGAAATAATTACAGCAATGAGTTCTAGCCCATAGAATAAAATAAATATGGTGAATCTGTAATGATATAAATTACACAAATAAATAAATGGGAGAAAAATCATCATTATCAAATACCACAGTAAAAATTGGCGCAAGCAAGAATCACTGATGGATGCTAAAACTGATGGGCAAAGCAAAAAAAGAATAACTTCCTCTATGGATGCCTAAATACTGAAGAGAGAAAAATAATAATAAATCCATATCACATAAGAATGTCAGGATGCTTAAACAGAAAGACTGTTCCCACCATTAAGGTGACTGCTTTCTTCCTACTTATACAACCCCAAATAAAAAGATAAAAATTACTCTGTCATTTTAACAAAATAGATTAAAAATGCTTTTACTAGCATGACCCTTTATATTGCCAGTTTAATTTCAAAAAGTATTTCTCACCTTTTGGCATCCGGGTGAGTGGCGGATCACAACACTCCATGTGAAAACCTCGGTCACAGGAATCACAAAAGAGCATGTTATCCTAAAAAAAGAGAAAGGACAGTTCTCTGCTTTACCTTAAGAAACTATAACATAACAGGATCATGACTTCATAAAACTTAGGAAACTTCAATGATCTCAGAAAGGAGATGAATTAGTATTAACAGTAAAAGTTTCCTTTATTTGTATTAACTGAGTAAATGGTCACTCTGAGTTAACAAACAGTTTTAAGTTTTGCTTCCTCTGATCTTTAATAAAAACTAGTTTCATTACTTTCAAGTTTATCCAGTCATCAGATACAAGCTAACTTTAGTCTGTGTTAATTAAAAAAAGGACAATTCACAATTAATATACCAACTGACTAGTCCTAAAATGAATGCCTCCATACTACCGAAACCATTTCCAAGTATTATTTTAAAACAGCTTGGTCTCTCTGCAAATTTATAATTAAGGTGCTTTAGAAATTACCTAAAAATAATCCAAGTCTCAATGAGCAAGTAAACTAAACTAATAATAATTAATTTAGAGAGTCTACTGTTCTAAATTCTGCTGGACCAAGTGACTAAAAAATAACCAACCATACATAGAATGTACAACAGAATGCCAGTTGTACATTTTATTTCTAAATGAAATATTTACTGTGGAAGGTGAAGATACTCACTGCATTTTTGCCTTGATCTCGACAGGAGCTGCAGGTTTTACACTCAATGCACTGCCACCGTAAGGCCTTCACTCTAACCGTTAGTTCAGGGGAAAACTTTAAACAGGATGGATGACCTAATAAGAGAGGAAAATTCACAAATGAAACCATCAATCATTTTGTAATTGTATTAAAGGAAAAATGCAGAAAAAGTCAGTATCTTAAATCCAAACATATATCAAAGAAAATAGGATGCTCCTGGAAGCTTGCCACACCTGTCTCATTAGGACTTAATTCCAATTCAGTTTTATTAATGCTAAATAAGATTTAGTACACACCGCACAAATTTGATTATAAAAAACTTGACAAACTCCAAATTTTTATTAATTTTGCATTAAAGCATTATGTGTGTACATACAATACGTAACATGCCCAGGCCACTTCTTGCAGAATATACAAAAACTTTAGGATATGGAACTATAAACATTTTGAAGGAAGATTTTACATTTCATTTTATACCCTTCTGTACTCTCAATTTTTAAAACAGTGACATGTGTTGCTTTTATAACTAAAAAAATATATAATAAAAATCCCAAAATTTAAAGTGAGTTATCTGTTCATCATTTAAGGCACTCAAGCTAAAACTAAAATGTAAGCAATACTTCTACTGACACCAGGCTGGGCATGGCTCAGCGGTTGAGCATCGACCTAAGATCCAGGCAATCGGGGTTCAATTCCCGGTCAGGGCACACACCAGGGTTGCGGGCTGCAGCCGATTAATGACTCTCTCATCATTGATGTTTCTACCTCTCTCTCTCCCTCCCTCTCCTTTCCTCTCTCCGAAGTCAATAAAGATATATTTAGAAATATATATATATATGTATCTATTTCTACTGTGACCAGAATTAACAGTAACAGAAAAACATGTTTCCTCTTCCAAGAGTTATCGGTTTGATTCTCAAAGTTTCAGAGTAGACAATTTGCCCTCAACTTTGAAAAGGTTTGTCCCTTTCCTCTAAAATTTTATTATTATTATTATTATTATTGGTGAGAGAAAGGATTAAATTATTTTCTCTCCTCTCTTTTCTACTGATAGTCCTTCAATGAGGCGATAAGAAGTTTATCATCAAAATACCACTAACATTAAAGGAAAAAGGAAGAAGAGGTATAAAAATTTCATTCATAATTTCATCACCGTAGAATTGCCATTTTCATGTTCTACTTTTCCTTTGTACACTGGCTAAAAGCACTTTCATGGTTTTAACTGCAGGGTCCACTGAGTTGATAAACACTATAACCTACTCAACCATTTCCTTACTGTTAAATACTTATAGACTATTACCCATAATTGTTAGAATACTAAAATAAATTATTTCACGTTTATCGATTCTTTCCTCCTTTTAACTTAATACCCTATGAAGTAAATTCCTGAAAGTGGGGTTGGTGAGTGAAATTAAATGAACATTTTTTATAGCTCGAGAGATAGAAATGCACTGCCAAAACATGTTCCAAACCCTATGATATATCCAGTGCCTCCAGCAAAGTACAAACATTTTGCCACAATTTGCTCAGCTTTAGGTTTGGGCTCTCTTATCTTTCAAGTTTTATTATTATAGCAGCTATGAATTGACACTTCACTGCTGCTTTGGTGTGCATTCCTATTATTATTTAGGTAAAATATTTTTTTATATGCTCAACTATTAACTTTCTCTCATATAAACTGCCTGTTCATAGACTCTGTCCCTTGGACTTTATGCTTAGAAATGTAAACATACTCTTTGAACTTTATAGCTTTTGAGCCTCTGCCATACTTAATGCAATTATTTTCCCTGAACAATTCTTGCTTTTTAAAAAAAATTTGGGGTAGTTTAGTTCTCAATTTGGAAAATATCAAATTCATATTTGATATCATATTCATATAAAAATATCATATTTGACTATGTCCATACTTTTCTTCCTTGGTTAGTGTGATAGCCAGGCTCCAAGCTGCCCTCGAATCATTCTTGCCCCCTTAGGGGCTATCACATCCTTTCTTAGTTCAGTCCCATAATAAATAATGGCTGATCTGTGTAACCAATAGGATACTGCTGAAATGACAGTATGTGAGTTCTAAGGCTAGGTTATAAAAGATTGAAGATTCCATCTTGCTCTCTCTCTTGGATATCTGCTAGGGGGAATTCAGCTGCCATGTATGGACATATATGCAGCCCTACGAGGAGGTCCACATGGCAAAGAACTAAGATCTTCTGTTAACTGGCAACATTAACTTGACAGCCAGCTATGTGATTCATCATGGAAGCCTTCAGATAACTGAAGCAACAGCTGAAATGTTGATTGCCACCTCATGAAAGATCCCAAGTCAAAACCACCTAGGTAAGCCAATTCCAAATTCCTGACCCACAGAAACAACATGAAATGTTTTTTAAATGTTTGTTATTGCTTTTATCTTCTGAGTTTTGAAGTAATTTTTTTCTTACAGCAATAGATGTTATTCTATTAGTTTTTTTAAAAGTTCTCTCTACAGTAATTTTTCAAATTGCATTCTTACCTATCTTACAGAAATAAATAAATAAATAAATAAATAAATAAATAAATAAATAAATAAATAATAAATAATAAATAATAAATAGAGGAGATCCACATACCACTGTTGCCACAATCAGCACAGGAGATGAGTTCTTCTGGCTTCTTTTCTCGGTTTTGTTCTTTTGTACCAAGACAGAAACTACAGATGGGAATTGGTTCAGCAACCGGCTGTAAAGACAAGCACAATCATTCAGGAAATAGTACTTTTTCTTAGTATTAATCTAAAGACATTAAAATTACACTTTTAAATTCCCACAAAAGTTACACATAACTTTAGGATAAAAACATCACTCTCCTAAATTTCCAACTAAATAGGTCAACGTTTTACAAACTGGTCCTTGTAGTGACAACTTTGGTCCAAATAAAATCATATCCCAACTATATTGGTCATTTAGAAACTAAATGACACAGTATAGATTAAACAAAGCAAATTCTTCACCTACGATTGAACAATTCAACTGAATTAAGTGCAAGGAATCACAGTATCAGTTCCTTAAAAGGTATGTGATGTAGAAGAGTGATAAGAGATATATGAATAAGCATTATATAAGGCAGAAGACATTAAGTGCTCTAAGAGAGAAACTAGTGCTCTGTACAAATGAGGAAGATAAGTTCTAATTGTGGTTAGAAGGAGAAGGGTTGAAAAAGGAAGACAACATGTATCAAGTGCATATACTATATTAACGGATCTTAAGAAGCTTGCCCAAGGATATTAGATAATAATTGTTAAAAGCAGGTTTAAGCCTAGGTTTCTATATTCCTCTGTCTACAGCACTGTCTCCCTCACCCTGAGGGTGGAGAGGAAGGCAATATAGGTAGTATAAACTAGATGAACTCAGGTGTGCACTCTGCTAAGGCCAGTGCTTAAAGGATATGGTTTCTGTAATAAGCGTGGGGGCACTGGGGTGGGGAGCTAGATCAGTTTGTCAAGACCGTCACTGAACATTATGTAAGGAAGTTGGATTTTATCTTTCAGGAAAATAGAAGGTTACTGAACCAAAAGATGATCACCTGTATTTGAGAAAAATACCATCCTGGTTCTATTCATGAAGCCTGAGTCATAAATCAAGAAAAATAATTCCAAGAGCAGTATCAAAGACATATGGGGGGAACCTAAAGACAGGCAGAACACTTAAATAGTGGTTATACTAGTCTGGTGAAGACAAGATAAGAACCTGAACCAAAAAGTAAATGAAACAGAAAAAACAGCTATGGACTTAGAAATCAGCTACTTGTGAAGTGACAGAAAAAGAAATGAGTTAAACATGACTAATTTAACTAAAAAGATGGTAATACTATCAACTGTGGAAGGTAAGTCATCTTGAAGAAAATTAGGAGGAAAGCAAAGAGATGAGTTTGATTTCAGGTATGTTTAGTTTGGAGGCACTCTCAGGCAACTATTAATGCTAGGCATTGTGCAGGATAGCAATATAAAGCCTTCGAGATGCTTTTAGTCTACTGGGGGGGAAAGATAAAATGTTTGATAGAAGTATTACATGGAAAACAAAGAAGAAATGATCAAGTTGGGGAAGGGGTATCAGAGAAGGTTTCACAGACGTAAGTTGTTCTGGAGGTATTTGACAGGCAGGCCCACCTCCTGATAGAGGTATTAAAAAAAAAATACAGAATTGGGTTTGGGGGTTGGGGAGAAGAGCTTAGTTTGGGACTTATTGAGCTTAAAATGCTTATGGAACGTCCCTGTAGCAATACCCATTGACATTATGATATAGGGATCTGGAGTTCAAGGGAAGGGTGGTCTGGAAATAAAAATCTAGAAGTCATATACATACAAAATGGCATTAAGACCATCAGAGTTGATTGGTATTCCCATGGAGAACAGATGGAAATAAGAGAGCTAAGGTAGGAACACCAATATGTAAGTGACTGCCAGAGGGAAATGCCTGAAAAAGAAACAGACCCGTGAGAGAGCTGGACGGTATGTCAATATAGAAATGTCCAAACAAGCAAACTAATAGTACTACTCAGCTAAGAGATTATAGATAATCAGCTGGAAGTTGTCTTAATAATTATGGCTGTGGTAAAAACTAGCACATTTCTTTATATTAAAAAGAATATGAAAAAGGACTGGGGAATAAAGTCAGGAAAGACTTCATTCAGGAATAGATACTTAAACTCTAAAGAAGGCCTAGAGAGAAGGCAGAAGCAAGTTCATGAGGTTTGACCTGTATGCTATAACCTCTAAGTACCATGAGAAGATTTTAAGCAGAGGAATGATATGACCAAGATTTAAATTTTAGAAAAGTCACTTTATAAAGCAGTTGAAATGGATTAGAAGGAATATGATCTATAATCCAGGCCATGAGAAATGAGGGTTTGTACTAAGGCACTGACCAAAGGGGTGGAGAAAAAAGGTAAGCAATACTAAAAATACAGAACTGGCAGGATCTGATGGCTAATTGATTTGGGATAGGGAGCACATTAAGGAAGATGGAAGACTTAGAAAGACACCATTAAAGATGTGAAAAGGCAAGCCACAGAATGAAAGATATTACAACATATTTTTTAAATGGCTCATATTCAGAACATTTAAAGAACTCTTACATATCAGCAAGGAAAAGACAGACAACAATAGAAAAGTAGGCAAAAGACTTCAACCAGGAATTTACTACAGAAAATACATGAATAATATATAAATGGCCAATAAAACATAAGAAATGATGCTCAACCTCTTTAATCATCAAGGAAGTAGATCTTTAAGAATGGCTAAAATTGTGAAGGCTGGCAATAGTAAGGGTTGATAAGAAAGTGGAACAACAGCCCGGCTGGGGGTGGCTCAGCAGTTAAGCATCGACCTAGGATCCAGGAGACTGAGGTTTGATTCCAGGTCAGGGCACACGCCTGGGTTGCGGGCTCGATCTCACTGGGGACGTGCAGGAGGCAGACGATCAATGACAACTCTCTCATCATTTATGTTTCTATCTTTCTCCCTTCCTCCCTCTGAAATCAATAAATATATATTTTAAAAAGAAAGTGGGACAACAGGAACTCTTACACTGCTAACGGATATAAATTGAAAAAAAGCACTCTGAAAAATTTATGACATTATCTACTAGAATTAAACACAGACATACCAGATGATCCAGCACTTCCACTCCTAGATTTATATGCAAATAAAGTGCATGTATACACATAAACAATAAAACATTCACAAAAATAATCAGAGCATCATTATTCATAACAAAATTTACTCAAAATTTACCCAAACTACTAGCAGTGGTTGCACACATAAACTGTGCTATATCCATACAGAATATTAAACAGTAATGAAAATAAGTTACAGTCAATAACATGGATGTGTATCAAGAACAATAGTGAGTGGAAGAACAGGCACAAAAGAATATACAGGGTTGGGCAAAAGCAGGTTTACAGTTGTTCATATGGAAAATAATACAATGCTACTATAAGAATAAACTCTGTGCTTCACGTATTCACAACTGTAAACTTACTTTTGCCTGCCCCTGTATGCTGTGTCATTTTGTTTACATAAAGGTCAAAAACAGTTCCATGTTGTTATAAGTCAGGATAGTGGTTATACCTTTAGGGAGAAAGGAAGTAGGTGCATTAGAAAAAGACTTATGAGGTGTTGGTAATGTTCTTTTTCTTGATGTGGATAGTGGTTTCAAATGTTAATTATATAATAATTAAGGTATAGGCTTATAATCTGTGTGCTTTTCTTTATGTATATTTTAGTTAGAAAGTTAAATTTAAATTAATGGACATCTATAGTGTAGGACTATGGTACCTTTGGAATATTCTACAAGAAATACCAAAGATGATTTGGACATTGGAGTTTGGAACTTAGGATAGAAAATAGGCTAGAGACAGAGATTTAAAAGACATTAACATGCAAGTGATAACTGATAGCACCCAGTGAGAAGGTGGAGTGGGAAGAACATGGCAGACAGTAGGGGGAAGGGAGTGGAGAAGTGAGATGAAGTCTGAGACAGAGGAATATCAACATTTAGGAAAATCAGAGAAAAAGAAAAAGGAGGCCAGAAAGGACTAGTCTGAGAGAAAACAGAACCAAGAGAAGTGATAACACAAGAATTTTAAGAAGCAGAGAGCAATCAACAACATTGGAAAGATAAAGTATCTAGTGGATTCTACAACTGAGATATAGTTGGAGACCTTACTAGAGAACACCTTTTTCAGTGAAAGAATAAGAACTAAAGTCATAGGAACCAACAAACTGCCATAAAGGGACAGAGACCAAACAGGAGAGAGCAAAAAAGAAATGGCAAAGAGTTCTGATGTGTTCGAGGTATTTAAGATGAGAAGACTAAACCTATTTAACATATGGAAGAGAAGACACACATGGTAAGAGATTCAAGAAACAAGAAATAACAGGAATATATTATGTAGTAAGGTTTAAAACTGCTGTTCAATACGGTAGGCATACAACATGACTAATTTAATTTAAAATAAAGTTAAGTTAAATTGATTCCTCTGTCACATTAGCTACATTTCAAGTACTCAATAGTCATATGTGGCTAGTGGCTACGGTATTAGACACACAAATACAGAACAATTCCATCATTACAGAAAGGTCTATTGGATAAACACTAGTTTAAAGAGGATGAACTTGTTTTTTCAAATTTTTTTTAGGGATGATTTTAAAATTAAATTTATTGTGATGACAATGGTTAATAAGATTATATAGGTTTCAAGTGTACATTCTCCATATTGCACTGTGTGTCTACCACTCAAAATCAAATCATCTTCTGTTACCATATATTTGACTTCCTTTAACCTTTTACTACCCCCTACATGCCCCTTCCCAAAAGAGGATGAATTTTAAAGTATGGGTAAAGGGACTGGTCTTAGTAGTATAGTGATACAGAATTATATGTAAATGGAATAGTGGAAATAGGGAAAAGTTGAGAGTGCTAATTTTTTATAGCCTCATTATTTCTGAAAACTAGGAAGTAAAATCACCTGCTAAAAGTGGGGCAGGGATTGGTTAGATACAGCAAGAAAAAGTGATAGCTGAGAAAACTGTGAGGTGAGATTGGCTGGGTCCAAGAACAGAGTTAACAAAAACTGCCCTCCTATCAAAATGGAAAATGGATACACATTCCTCAGGCAAGACAGAATCAGAAAAGTTTGTATTAGCATAAAGAATAAATTCAAAACCAAGAGAGAAAAGC